ACTGATCTCCATAAGGAAGATCCTTAAAATAATACACTATACCAGCATATATATCAGACAAATCTTTTCTTTTCTCTGTGCAAGAGTGTACAAAGTAGATGTTAGTCAGTAGCTTTACTGGAAAAGTTCCAGTTTTCTCCAAAAGTCAATTTCTTTGTTTATTTCAGTGCAAAGAGAATAGATTACATGGACTGGGTCTGAAATTAAACAACATCTTGGTGACAGTTTAGAAAATAGTTAATCTAGCTAGCTTTTGATAAAGTAAGATTGTATTTCTTTAGGTTATAGCAGCTTGATTTTGAGAGCCTTATTCTAGAACAGATGCACAGGAAAAGTGTACAGATCTCCCTTTGCAATATTGGATATCTGTTTTTCATTGTTCCTTCCTCATTCATACCTCCATATCTAGTTCTCTGGCTCCTCTGTCTCCAGGAACCATTTGCCAATGGTCCTTCAATTTTCCTGAATATATGCAAAGAGGATGTGGACAAAAAGGAAAGAATAAAAGTTAAAGGAAAGAGGAACTTTTTTTTATGACTTATTTGTTGGAGGCAAGAAGGAGCTGCAGAAGAGACAGAAATCAGGAAGACTGAAACAGTGAAGCTGATGCTGCATATGCTTGCTCTAGTAGAGGCTCCTAAGCAAGGAAAACCTACTAGTTATGAGCTCAACATATCTTCAGTTGTCAATCTAGGACTTCCACAAGATGGATAAGATGAGGAATCCACAGGGATGGTCAGTGAGTTGGAGGCATTTCCAAAAATCTTACCTGATAGCCAGACATCAATACAAGAAGAATCAGATTATTATTCAGCCTTTTAAACAGTTGGATTATTTCACATGTTCAAAACACATGTATGTATGTTTACAATCTAAATATGATGCAAATATGTGCATATATGATGCATTTGTCATCTAATGAGAAAATATTTGACATTTTGGGGAGCTGTATGGAACCCTATCCATTGACTCACATGTTGCTAAAAATTCTCTATGTGAAGTTTTTGTCCACAGCAACATCTTTTCATCTGAAATTTTGAACAACAAAAATAAAAACAAAAGCCCTCCTTTGGTTTAGGATTTTACGTGTTTTTGATTGTTTTTGTTTGTTTTTTTCTTTGTTTGTTGGAATACAAAAAAAGAGTGAGGATTAATACACATTCTTTAGGTTTTCATAGATGCTTTTGGAGGAGGATATAGACTGTATATACCAAGTGATATTTCTGAGTAATTTCCCTTTTCCTTCTTGTCCTGGGAAACAGAACAGAAGGTCCTTCCTAGACAAATTTCAAACAATGTGGAAACGAGGATTTATATTTACTGAGATAGGACACAAAAGCTGCATTTTACACTAATGGGAAAGGATGTACTTAAAATGAGACTTGTTTGAACCATCAAGAATGAGAACCATTTCTTCTTCTCTCACTCGCAAAACTATCTCTCAGGTTTATATGTTATTTCCAGAGAACTTCTGTATCTGCACACTTCATCTTTTATCTATCTTTCACTTTATCACTTAAAGTAAGATTTTCACTTTGTTTTCTACAAGAAGAAGTTGTCCTTCTATAAGGATATGCTGAGTATAGAGTTGGGAAGCTCAACCATATGCAAAAGAGATGTAACTCATAAGGAAAAAAAAAGTGAAAAAAAAAACTTGTCAATAGTAAGGTGACTTTTTGTTGCTGCATTAATATATTTCTGCTGTACATATTCAACATCTATTTTTTTTTCATCACTTACAAAATAAAGAGCTTCTTGTGGAACTCATAAAACACACGTAAAGTTGCTTAAGTAACAATACTTGGGGAGAAAGAATGTAAAACTGCATAATGTGGAGGTAGCCGTATTTAATTTCTCAGCTTCACATGCTGGAGAAAGATACACAGAAGTATCACAGCAAACCCAGGACAACGACACTAATACCTTTTTTTTTTTAAAACCCCTGACAAAGGTAAAAAGGTAAGTCTCAATGCAATGAGAGCATGGAATATAGTTCTTTGTGTCTGACTTGCATTGGGATCAAGCAAAACTCCTGAGTCCCCACATCAGGAACTTGACATAATGCAAGCTCCATGAGATCAAGTTCACTAGTTCACAGGACTAGTTGTGCTAGAGGAAAGTTCCAGAGGTAAAAGAAAGCGGTAAAAAGCAGATTTTGCTAGATACTGCTGGCCTTGTCCCAACCACTCCCTCTCAGCCAAGAACACATTGCCTAGGATTTGGGAGATCTATAACAAGATGTAAATCAAACTTTCTAAAGAAGCTGCATTTCATATCAGTTTTTATCTGCCCAGGCTTGCAGCTGGCCATTCACTGCAAACACTTTAAATTAAGTTTTTTGTTCAGTAGCAGGCTAAGCATACACAATTGAACAAGATGATTTATGATTGACCTGTCTTGAAACTTATGGAAGCTTCCTGCAGACAGGAACGAAAGTGGGAGGCTGGGATCATTGAACAGCAGGTAGATGCCATAAGGCCTCCTCAGTTGTAACTGGTTCCTTAGCAATTTTCAAGAATTATTCTCAGGTAGAGAAGTAGAATATCTGAGTTTTTAGCAGAATTAGGTCAGTTGATCTTCATCTAGATCATGCCTGTCCCACCCAAATTTGGGCAGAAGGATTTTGGTTTGTCTGCACTTGTTGATGCATGACCGAGCAGAGACAGCTTGGTCCAGGCCTGTTTCCCATGGAAATGCATTGACAGAAAACTTGCAAAAGGGGAAAACTGCAGACCATCAAATGACAGTTTTGCTTACAGTGGAGGACTGGTATTTCCTTGCAGCCTCCTGCTAAAGAAACACAGACCGAGAACAGAGCTCTCAGACCTGACAAATTCTTGCCAGCATCATATGATAAAGCTGCATTGCTTTACCTACCTTGCTAATCAAAGAGGAATTTCAAAATATGAAGGTATCTCAGCTGTGCTATCTGCGCATTTAAAAAGTGAAAATGAAAGTGGGGAAAAAGGAAGAAAAATTTTGGAGGAAGTAGTATGTGATATGATTCTGTGACATGATGAAGCACACAGGCTTTTGTAATGGAGATGGGAACGGGCAACATTTCCTGATTTCACTGGGATCTGCAATAATAAGTGCAGAGGACGTGAAGTGATGAACAGGGCTGGACACAAGTCTCAATGTGATCTGGTCCCTTGAGTCAGGTGTTGCTAGCATCATGGTATTGAGTTCCTGGAAATTCTGTAGTTTCTTCCTTTACAATTTTCTATTTCTATGTGTTACAGGATTCTAATGAGTAGTTCTGAATGGAGCAGTCAGTGTTCTCCATGGATCCCTTCCAAACCAACATTTCTGTGTTTCTATAGCTTCCAAATTTGTTTTTCATATTTAGCATCCCTCATAGCAGACACATTGCTGTTGCAATGAAGTGTTTATTTATAAGAATAAAAATCTGCTCTGAGAAGATCTTCATAGTAAGAAAGAGAGCTTGCCACAAAACTAGTCAGGACTATGTTCTAGCAACCTGAAGTGGAGATGTAGCAGCTGAGTGATACCTGCTCAAATTCCTGTGGATATGTGGATGGTATTTGTATCTTTCCTCCAGTGAAATGTGGTCAGAACAAGTCATTTCAGGTCCAAGAAGACTATGAGTGCCTGTAGCTACAGTGTGTGGCTTTCTGATGTTCCAGTTCACTAAGTGCAGGGAGCACAGCAGAATTTTTTTTGCACTTTGTTATGCCATTATAAGCTCATCATTTTTTTTTTTTTTCCTTTCCACTACCCATAAACTCTTCTGTTTTTCTCCCTCCAAAACTAAAACTCTGTGAGATTCACCATTCTTTTCTAGCTCCTTCTGCAAGATTTCTGTGCTACACTTCTTTATTTTTTTTCCCTCATGGTTATGATCATCCTTTCTTAGATTCCTTTTTCTCTCCTATTGACTTTCCTTCCAAGGACCACTTCCTCCTTTCTCATTCTTGACTAATTTTTAACTCCTGCTTTGCTCTCTTCCCTTTGAGCAAATCCTGATGCTCTCTACTCTAAAGCTTTCTTGTAAAGAAATAACTTTATGGATTGTAAGTTAGATCCTACAGCAGATTAAGGTACTGCTTCTGGGAATCTGCGTGGCAGATATTCTCTTCCCAGCGGTGTGAAACAGCTCTGGCCAGTCAATATACCAAAGGTGGACCTTTGCTCTGGCTGTGAAGCTTCTATCAAACAAGCTGGGGGCTTGTTTGATTCTGTCTGTGCCTCAGGATATCACTGTTCATCCAGTGCTTCTATGACCTTTTTTTAGATAGTGTCTTACAGTTATAGAAAAAACAGAGAGTTAAGACTAGGACAAGTACCTTTAACAATCACAATATTTATTTCCAAAGAATAGCAAAATATGTAACGTTGATCAAGAGAGGAGTCTTCTTTCTGAATACAACCCAGAATTTTGTAAAAGTTGCCTTCCTAAAATTACATAAAAAATTATCTTCCTATGGCTAGAAGTCTCAGATCTTTACACAGTGATCTCAAAGTTCACTTAAAAGGAGTATGTATGGAGTAACAAAGTAATGTCTTTGAACTCTCCCACCAGGATAAATTAAAAGACAAAAAAAAAAAAAAAAAAAAAAATCCACTGAAGAAATAGTAGCAGCAGCAGAATTTTTTCCTAATCTTAGATTTCTTAAGATAAATCTGTTGCCAGAAATATAAATTCTTACAAAAATTTCCCACTGAAATATATTTCTAGAGTTTCCAAAAAGGCAAATGGTTATGGATAGCAATTGCACAGAATCTCCCTTGTTAGGGAGATACTTTTTACTTCATTTGAAATTTCTGATCCACATTGACCCCTGAGTTATTTTGAAGTGTTGGCCAGAATGGGTCATTCTGGTTTACAGTAATTTCAGATTTACTTATTTTTCATGGTTTTATTTTGATTTTCATTGCCCTCTGAAAGAACAATCACTTCTCTTAGCCTCCTGTTCTCTTATTAATGTTTGCCTGCTGCCTTCTGACCTATCCTCTGATACCTTCTGACGTGTCTGATATCACTTGGAAGGCTGGGAGCAGGGTGATTTGTATTCTGCAACAGCATATTCATCTAGAAAGAAAAAATAAAGGTGACATTTATATGAGAGTGAGAAATCTTTCAGACCCCAGTCCATGTGTCAATCCATAATGTGACAAATACTGAACCATTAAATATCTCATAGATTTTGCTCTAGTCTTCAAGTTGCCAAGAAACCCAATTCCAGAGTCACAAAGTTAGTGCCCAATGCACTCCCCTGGCAGTGTTTGGCAGACACATTGACACTGTGAACATATGGGATGTTTATCAAGTGGCAGAATGAACAATCCATAGAGAATTATCCAGATATTGCAGCTAATCTGCTAAAAGGCAGTTCTCAAGCCTGAGAAAAGCATATGGGAACTTGATGCAATTTGGTTAACATAACTACATAACTACCACTGATGAATAATATTTGGTGCCTTTATGGTTCCTTGTGGCCAGATCTAGAAAGGTGTTCAGGCATTTAATATTCTAGTTAATTGCTTAAACCTCTGGTGAATTCAGTGGGACTGTAATTCTCACTTAGGTATTTAAATTCTACTGTGCAACTGTTCTCTAGCCACAGTCTAATACGGCAATGTAAAACAGACATATAACACAGACCAGAACATATATGTGGAACGATACTTATTTCTGTAAGTCTGTAAGCAAGTACTCTTGCCCTATTGCTTTGTAACCTTCTTTATGTTAAAACCCATAAAGAAATGAAAAGGTATGGGAGGAAAACTCTCTATGCCTCTGCAATTCTTTTGCAATCTACTGTAAGGACTGGTTGAAAGAGGCAGGGTTGCTAACTTGAGGTCTACTAGTTTCCCATGAGAAACAAAGGCAGCAAACGCGAAAATGTTAACATTTTTGCTGGCACAGAAACAGCAGGGAAAATCTACTGATCTTATCTTGCAATCATTGAGATCAGTAGTTTGATTTCATAGTTTTTTCTCAGGCCACTGAGGTCACACACCTGTTTCGTAGTAGTCATAAATATGTACAGAAGCTGCTTTAATATCTGACACAGGTAGGCTTTGTTCCACGCTGAAAGAGAAACTGATTTCCTTCTGGAAGACCTGAAATTGAAAAGACAAGAAAACACACAACACTTTTTATATTGACTCCTAAGCATTTCTAGATCAGAGTGGTTGACAATGTAGCATTCTCTCCAGCTTTTATATTTGATGTCAAATCAGATAATCGCTTAAAATCTGTATCTAAATGTATTTTGTTGCTAAGCTCTTATGTCCTTTCATTTCTATATCTTTCTTTTTTCACTGTGAAATACTCCAGCTCCAAATACTCCCTGATTACTGCTGCTTTCAACACAACATATTCACTGTCATTACATTGAATTCAAGATTCACAACTTCCCCTGTGGTTCTATTCCTCATTCTGCACTCCTGCAGCCAAACATTCCAAACTTTTCTCCTTGATCATTTTCCGCAGCTTCAGGCTTTCCTCTGCATGCCTAGGACTCTGATCCTGTCCTTGTTTTCCTTTGTCCTTGTTTTTGTCTTGCTGATCTCTTTATAGGAATGGACCGCTGGGCAGGGGCTTGTGAGTTCTCCATTACGGATGCCTTTTTTTGGTGAACTTGGAAAAGATCTTTCATTTTTCCACATCTCAGCTTGTCCCTCTGTGAAAATAGAATACCTAATCTAATCTTTGTCAGACCTTTGGCAATTGACAACACTGTTCAAAAGGTAAATAGCATTACTATTTCTTTTTGCTTTCTCTCTTCTTCTCCTTCAGGCATTTTAAGATTCCTTGTATTTTAAGTGATTTTCATCTTTCTTTACTCCTTTTTTAGTAATTTTTTAGTGAAGAAGGAGAATTCTCTTCCTACAGAAGACTCTGTCAAAGAGGGGAGATGATGTTGGCTCACTCTGTAAAACACTGAGAAAACTGATGAAAAGCCTTACTTAAAGACCAAGAATTGTTATATAGACTATGAACTTTTTGCAGTGGGGAATGCAACTTAGCTATGTTTGTGAAATGATGTTTAGTCATGCAGCATTCTTCAAATAATAAGTAATAATAAGTGTATATATATATATATATTTTTTTTTTCACAATAGGCGACACAGTATAGGCAATATACTGTGTTCTATAGATCTGTCCTTTGCTTTCTTTTGTATTATAGACTGAAAAATAYGCCTAACAGAATACCAGGGGTTATATATTATGGCTAGGTCAAGACATCAGTCTATTTACTGATGATGAAATGAATGAAGTCCCACTACTTCTTTAAGACACATGCATTGATAATCTGCTATAAATTAAATGTATCTTTTATATGGGAGCCTGTTTTAAACTTCCAGTTCAATAAAATCAAACACAACCTCCTCCCCAAACTTACCTTCTGCAGGTAGAAGATGATGTGGTCATTCTTAATGTCTACTTGATTCACAATAGAATCATATTGTTGAAGCTTAAAATAAAACAAATGTTAGGAATTTAAATGGGAGATGTGCCAAGCAAGTACAAATAACCATTCCTTATCTAAGTATTGTGAAGCAGTTGGGTTGCATAACAGCAGTTGCCACCATGAYATCTCGTGGCCAAATTAAGAAATCCAGAAGGAGTAGCTCCATATTTTCTTGAGATGGCAAGTGCAAACCAATCGCAATGAAAACCAAACAGCCCTTACTAGTGAGGTGTTTGGTATGAGCATATTTTTATCAACTTAAAAGTGCCTTCAGTTACTGAAGGGATCCATGGTGTATATGTAGGCAAGTGAGAGGGTCACAGTACTAGGAAACGGAGCGGCACTTCAGGCCTTGAGGTCCTGTATGCCCAGGTGTCAGCAGCTATGAAGAGCAAGGATCCAGGGGMTAATTACTAGAGAAACTGAGTGTCTAAGATAAGCTACCAATGAGAACCATATTGTATATATTTTCCACAAATGGGCTTTCTTATTGATCAGGCAGAAAGGGGAACAGGATAAAGCCATTTGTACTAATTATATTTATGTGAATGCCGTTTCTTATGTCTCTGTTGATCTGTGTGACTGACTGTGTACCTATGCATATAAACATTATGTCTAACAAGTCTGTCTTCAACAGAAGAACAGCTACTAGCCTGAAATAAATAGGATGTAGCAGAGGACTGTGTCAAGGGGATTTTAAAGAACTCATGTAAGGCTAAAATTTACTAATCGGATACTGATTTTATCAATGTCCTATGTTTTCAAGGTAGAATAATTATTTTGCTCCCATCATTTACCTTTTTCAGAGAAGATCTGACGGGAACAAAACCTGACAGCATCTTCACATCAATAATGGCCATGTTGGAGACATTGCGATTTCCCGTGTAACTGAAAAGTTAAAAGCTCTATTAATCTCAACTGCAACCACAGAGTAGAACAGTAAATGATATTTTCTGCTTCCACTCAAGGACAATTCTGATAATCTCTATACTGAATGGTTCTGGTGACCCAATTGTCTACAGCAAGTATGTGAAAATTACCAATGAAAGATGAAACTTAAAGTTATAATCCAATAGCAGTTAATAGCTTGTACTTAAATCKTTCCCTGGATGCTCTACCCAACTGAGCATGTGAGAAGGTGGCCAATATGAAGATACCTGGTAGAGATGACAAGATCAAATTTCAGTGGGAAGTTACTTGTGCAGGATACATTGGCTGACTGTACTGAGAGAGAAAATCCTGCAACCTTTTTGGGTAGATGGATGTTGTATCTCAGGGTTGTCTAAAAGAGAAGGAAAGTATGAAATGGTTAGATCTACAGACTATTGTAGATTTGGCATTAGCTATGGAGAGGAAGTATGCTGATTTTTCAGCTAGGCTATCCTGAGTTTCAGCTTCCTTACCTGCAGATAGACACAGCCAGTGCCACTCACTTCCACACTGTAATTCCCTGGGACAGCRGTCAAAGAAGCTTGCTGCTGTATGAAGCGGTTCTTTTCATTCACCTGGAAAACCTTACTTGGGAGTTGCATGAAGTTGACCTTCACTGTGTTAACACTTTTTTTGGAGAAGGTGAGATACCCATACTGAGCTAAGGCTTGAAGAGCAACAACTGTATCCTGAAAAAACAAAACAAAACAAAAAAACCCATAAGCCTTAACTAGAGAGCTACCGAGCTACGAGATGGTTAATGAGATCAACACAACTCCTGTTTTCCCAATACTTAGATAGTGATGCTAAAAGGAGCAGAACTTTAAAGAGAGCTGAGAAGATTAGCTGCCGGTTCTGAGCTAATGGACCTGAACTATCTCAGAATAYATTTGTGACTGCTGTCTACTGCTAATTTGATGTGAAAACTCAGGTAAATTTTCATTTCCTAAAGTTAAAAATATAAGCAGTTGCCTATGAAGACCATGATATATATACTCAGGAAGGAATGTCATAATATTGAGATTCAGACTGCAAACCACAACTGCACACTGTCCCCAGAAGGGTTTTTTGTTTGTTTGTTTGTTTSTTTTAAACCATTCACAATAGTCACCTGACTGGAGGAAAAGCCACCATAAGGATTTTGCTGTTTGACAAGCCAGTGTACAATGCGAGAAGTGTATGATAATTCTTCTGGAGTAAGTTTGTTTTTGTTGAGTAGAGCCATCAGCACATAGCTGGTCATTTCAATTTCAGCAGAAGGGGCACGCGAGTAGAAGGCAGGGAAATGTTCTGCTGGTGGCTTGTTTTCTCTCTCCCAGTGAACTGAACCACCTGAAAACAGAAAAACAGCSTATAAGGAACAGGAGAAAATGACTTGGTGTTTAATTCAGTACAGTATAATTTGGGAGATASTCTTTTCTCTCTTCCCTTACTCAAAAGGCTTTATAGCTTTCGTTGTGCTGCACTTGATAGGTTTTCAGTTGAAGAAAGGAAACGGGGAATGGTATTGGCTTCACCAAAGGTTGAATTGCATTAATAGGGTATTAATAAAAAAGAGTTCTATAAGTCAAAAGAGGMTTGAAGGAGCATCAGAGGGATGCCAAAATGGTCAGGATCCTGGAGCATGTACTGTTCAAAGGGAGGCTGAAATAACTCGATTTGTTCAGCCTGTAGAAGACTACACTACCTAGATGGGGGTAGCAGAAGAGKCAGTCAGACTCTTCTCAGCAGCGCACAGAGAAAGGACAAGAGGCAGCACACAGAAGTAGAGAAAACAGAAGTTTCTATTGGGCAAAAGGAAAAAGAAAATCTTTCCCCAGAGAGCAGTGGAGCACTGGAAGAGGTGTCCATTGAGGGTCTGGAACCTCCATCTCTAGAAATTTTCAAAGCCTCCATGGGTAAGGCAAGTTGAAATTGGCTCTAACCTAAAGGAGTGGATAGACTGGAGACCTCCAGAAGTCCTTCCTGCCTGTCATGACAAGTCGTGACAAGAATATCAGGTCACAGTTCAACTTTTGGTGAGGCCAAAAGATACAGTCAAAAGTTCATAGAGATCAAATCAGCTTAGGGAGAAATCTTGTAGCTCAGCAGACTGAGAATGGGAAGAGACTAGCATGAATGAGAATATTGACCAGAATAAGTTTTGCCATACAAGTTCTATACCTGTATCATAGCCATACATCACTTACCAACCCTGGTGGCTGTTTTGTTGAGCTTCTCAAAAAAGAATTGTTTTCTTTTCTCTTTGCCAGCTAAGCCATAAGTATAGGCAAGAAGGGCCTGGGTATAAGTGTCATAGACTCCTTTGTTAAATGCAGTCTCCAAACAGTTCATGCCATTCTGAACCACAGGATGCTGGTAATGTAAAAGATAGATAATAGGGTTGTCAGGTTTGTATCTCACCTCCCGTTAAAAACTTCCATCACTGCTTAGTCTGACTTCACTGACACTTTATGGCAAAAATATACATGATACATGGAATTCAAGGGCCTGCACTTGATGTCTCCTGTAAGAAAGGATCATGCAGCAATGCTGCCTTCTTTCTGTTTTTATTTAGAGGCAGMCTGGTCAAACTAACAGAGTACTCTTTCTTTTCCTGACTTGTGGGATAACCTTATGCAGGACAATCCTTTGTTGTAAACTGGGGATCWTTTTTTTATGTTATGTAAGCTTTATTGAGAACTCATGATGATATGGGCCTTCTCAGGTAGCTATTCTTACTCTTTTGTTCAGTGTAGCTATCAAGATAGCTCTTTAGTCTGTTTAGTCTCATAGATAATCTGTAAATTCCAGTTCAGCTCAGACTCACCAGCGGACTATTAATCACAATCTCTCTAAGCACCTAGAAATGTGCCACCAGCTTCATGGAACTTTGGAACTAAACTTAGGCTACTGAAGCAACATTTGATCCTGCACAATGTCTTTGTCTTGCCTAAATACTTGCATCTTGTACTTAGAATGATTCCTCACACTACAGTTTCTGAGGGACTTGCAAAACTTTGTGTGTTTAGAACACACTTGTCAGTTTGGGGAGAATTTGTGTCTCCTTTTCTGCTTTACTGATAAACAAAGAATCAAGTCATGATCTCAAGAATATACAGAAAGTATATTGCAGAGAACAGAACTCAGCTCTAATTATCCAACTCCTAGCAAGTATTTCAAGCAGCAGCTCATCATTCCCTTCCATTATTAAGGATGACATAAGGAAAAGGATACATAATCTGGATCTTTATTAAGAAAGTTTGTGGGCCTGGAGGTTTACAAAGCCTGAACTTTGGCCTGGACAAATTCATAGAGAATTCCAGATTGGAATATAGATGGAGTGGGCAAAATTAATATAGATTTTACATCTGCCATACAGTTGTACAAAAATATTGCTGTTTAGCAGAACTGGTTTAAGGGTTTATCAACACTTTTTTTTAATTTCACTTTCACATGAATTCATAAGAACTGGATGCATAACTCCTCTGTAACACATTTCAAATGCTCATGTCAGCTGCAGGATTCTGGAAACAGATTTCTTGAGCTAACATACAAAGACTTGATATCCTATAATCAGTATTTATGGCACTGTTAAAGAACATAGATATGATGACTATCACTTGTGCATTGTTTGACATGTGTCTGACCAGATTAGTAAAGCAGAACAGTATCAATACTTACATTAACAGGATGTCCACCTTCCAGCAAGGCTGCCACGACATAGGCTGTGAGAGAGTATTCACCTTCTTTTCCTCCCTAAAGCAAATCCAAGTGAAGAACAAGTTATTAAACTTGGCTTAGAATGAAATAACATGTGAATGCATTTCTAATCAGATCCAGGTGAACAGAGATCAGAGACAACCTCCATTTCTTGTGCATAAAAACAAGAATCATTAAGCCTACTTAGGAGAAAGCCCAAATTATTCTATGCATTTACATATGTGCAATAGAGCATATTTTACCCTGTGACTGAACATGTAGATGCACYAATGGAAAATAAAACTTCAGCATCTGACTCAGGAAATCCTACTTCTTTCTATCTCAGCATCAATAGGAGACGTAGGAAGCATGCCATGCTTGAATGAGAGACATGAGAAAACGATTTTAAGTTGTATGATGATCATCTACTCGAATACAAAGGAGCACAGAAGAACAATAAAAGTGGAGGAAGTTGAATAATGCCCTGACTAGATAAGTTACTCYATCTCCACCACAGGAGAGCAATCAACCTATGAAAAGCTCATCTCCACAAACCCAAAGGAGCACAGAGGCATAACGGCACAGATAACCCAGTCAGAGAAATTGACTCCTGCCCCTGTTCCTTCCAGGATTGTCCAGGTTAACCAGTGGCCCCATGACCCAGGTGTGAAACAAAACATATCACCTATATCTCCTTCCCATCTAGAGTGTGRTAATAAGCTTGCTGACAGAAATGACCCAACTCTACCTCAGTAGCAGGACTAAAATCTTGGAAAAAAAAATTGAGCTCAGTTACCTTCAAGGCATTGTTGAAATGTGACCCAACATTTTCAAAACAGCCATCAGACTTCTGCTTGCTTGCTAGCCAGATCAAGGTTTGAGACTGGAGGGTGCTGTCAATGTAGATATAGCGTTTGGCTTGTGCAAATGACTTGTATACAAAGGCAGTGAGCCTGAAGGTCAACCATGAGGAAAGAGGAGACAAGGTGTAAGCAACATCATGAAGGCTTGTTGGCAACTGAATATAGGGAATTACACAGCATGCTTTCTATAGCATATGATGCAAAAGAGAAAAGAGATTCCTTAATTTTAAACAACAGGTTAGTTAAAATGCTGACATTAAAAACTGAACAGATTTTTTTTCCATTATTATTTTCAAACCGTTCCTCCAAGGTATGATTGAAGCACAGATATGCCTCGGTGATTGATGATAGAAATTTATAACATTAATTAATAGAATCATGAAATAATCTAGGTGGAAAGGAACTTTCAGAGGTCTCCAGTCCATTCACCAGTTTAAATTAGGACCAATTTCAACATTCAATCAACTTCCCCTACCCAGTGAAGGTTTGAAAATCTCCAGGGATGGACATTCTAAGCCTTAGTGGGCATCTGTTCCAGAGCTCCACCACTCTCCAGGGAAAGATTTTCTTTTTCCTTTTGTCCAATTGGAACTTCTGTTTTCTCTACTGCAGCTTCTGCGTTGCCTATTGTCCTTTCTGTGTGCACTGCTGAGAGGAGTCTGACTCCCTTTTCTAGAGGGAGGTAGATTGTGAGTCTCAATTGCTACTCTCCTCATTTAGGTAGTAGAAGATTGTGACTAGTTTCTCTAATAGTCTTCTTTTCTACAGTTCTCTAATAGTCTTCTTTTCTACAGGCTGAACAAATCCTTTTTTTTTTCAGCTTCTCTTTGAACAGTACGTGCTCTAGCTCCCTGACCATTCTACTGTGTTTATCTACTGTACATAACCAACTCCAGTTTGGTTAATCTCTGATAAGAAGAGATCAAAATTAATTGAGCTGTGGCCATTTAGCGTATTAAAAGTAACAATACGTAGCGCTTTTGAAGTCTCTTTCCCTAGCTCAGGATCCTTACAAAGTGTCACCACTCACCATATGCTCCCTTCCCTATCTCTTGTCCCAAATGAGCTGTAGGATCCATCCCGGTGTTTGTATGATAGCTGTTTTTGATACCCTGTAAACACAAGAAAGACAACATTTTCTAATCACAGTAAATGCCTATTATTTCTGTTGTTTATTTAACTGAAACAGTAAGTCTTTGGGACTCCAGATTAAGTAATGGAAGTCTTGTAAATGATATCAGCTATAATGAATTCTAAATGCTTTTGCTTCTGGAACTACCACGTGCTTTTTTAAGTGCTTCTTTCAGATGCTCTCATTCTCAGCTCTGATGCAGTAAATGGGGTGCTAGAAGTTTCCACAATCTACAGTTCAGTATACATCATTATACAATTGAATGGGAGAGTCTGAAAGGCCCTCACCTCTGGACAAATATCCAATACCCTTTGCACTTATAGTTTCAGTCAGCTGTCCGGTTTTATTCAGATAATCCAGGGCATAGATGTTTGGTGTAAATAAGGCCATGTTTTGTTCTCCACAGCCATAAGGCATATGAAGCAGGTTCTCCATGTTTCTCAGAGCTGTGCCCAAAATGTCTCCTGGAAAATGAAATATATAAGGAGTTATGTACTCTGTACAGGAAGTTCAGTTCAAAAAGGTCTTTTAATACATGGCATTATACATTGCTTTAAATTACAGGACCGTGAAATCATGGACAATGACTAATAGAGTAATCAAAATGTGGTATGCAAAGCCACAACCAAGAAGAAATGCTGAAAACATTTCCCATTTTGATTTGGAAATAGTAGCCACATAAGAAAATCTAAGGGTATGAAAAGAAGCATGAATACCATCAGGAATGGGTTCTAAAAACCAGCTGTTGGCCCTTAGAAGGGGCATTCCTTTTACTTTCAACATGCATCACACACAGTGTATAAATGTGAAAACAGGATTTGGGAACATGTTGGCGATAGGCCACAGAGGATGCATATCATAGCATCATCACACTTCCACAGATCCAGGTATACAACACATTTTTTTTAAATCTGAGTTCAGAACCTCATAAACTCTGCACTGAAAAGAACTGTCAGCCTTAACAATGACTTTAAGATTAGTCAAACTGTTTAGAACCTAAAAGTGTTGTCCTCTAGGAACTTAAAAGTTTATAAATATTTTTCATTGTATAAAAGTATAAACATGAAATTTTGCTGTCTGTAAATTTCTGTAGCTTTGTTTACAAGAAATCAAAATAATACTTTTTTTTCCCCTAAAATCTGTTTTATCTTAGTTTTCAGCTGAATTATCTATTTTAATATGCTAAACAACATATGGTAATGGAATACAAACTGAAATGTGATGTAAATTAAAACATTTTGACTGTGTTGTGATATCATGTTTTGACATAATATAGGAAACTATCGAGCCTTTCTTTGCTGTTTTACAAAGTAGAAAATATTTTCTACAAGAATGTGAAGTATCTCCTCAGTTTTGCATTAGATTTGCACATTTATGCACGATGACATTGAGTGCGTCACAATGAAAATATAATTTAATTTCATTTGTAGTCTAAGTACTAGACTTACCAATGACAGAAAAATAAGCTCGGGCTGATCCCTGCACCACATTTTCTGGCAGCTTGAGAGACACTAGTTCAGAAACTGTTTTATCTGATGATAAAATAAAACAATAAGAATGATTAAAAACATCATTTTCTCAGAAGTATGCAGTTTGCAAGTGTTATTACAGTAACTACTACAACCTGCTGTTTGGGTGAGGAAATTGCAGAGACTTGACCAGTGACTCAAAAGTATCTCTGAAAATCTTGAATTCTAGCTCAGTAATTTAACCCTGATATCATCCTTCCTCCCCAGAGAGGGTTTCTGGTTCTATAGGACAAAACCCTTATGCCACAGTGAAGTAGTTACTCACTGGAATGAGTGAATGAGCTTGCCTTACCTTTTGTACAGATGAGGGAGCTCTGAGTCAATTCTTTTTTAATACCTTCAGGCTGTTTGGTTGCAGGGAAGCGCCCGGGAAAGGAAGAAAGGTGTAGAAAATCACCATGAAACAAGGAACAAATTAGCAATGTAAAACACTACATGTATGTGGCTATCTAGGCAGTGAATCCCCTTTTACACAGTCCTGCCCTGTTTTGGGTGGAGCATCACTTTAAGTGGGGCYTCTCTCTTTCTGACATAAGTATATTTAGAGCAGCTTCCTTCAAAAAAAAAAAAATTATAAAATGGATGTTATAGTTAGTTCCAATCTCCAAGAGAGGCTGCAGGAAAAAAAAGTTGGGCATGGGGGTCTCAATTCAACTAAACTTCTGCAGCTGCTGCTCTACTTTTTTCAAGATAAATCTTATTCCTTTCATATTTGCCATTCCTCTTCACATATTCGCACCTACACCACCCAATACTACTAGAATCACAGATTAAAGATATATGATACCCTTGGTCCCAGGAAGGACACGGTGAAAAGAGGAATGTAAAAGCCATTGACTATTGGAAATTCCACTCTGAGTTAAATTTGAAAATGCCAATTGCACGTAACTCCACCAGGGTCATGAAATATCAAACAGTTAACTCATCTAATGTACAGCTATAGAAATGGCAGTTTTCTAAAAGCAGAAGATGCATGCAGATTTTCTACCCTACCTCAACTAGTAGAGTTTGAATAAGTGTGTCACTGTGAATTGTTTCATCTTCTGGGAATGTGCTGTCTCCAGCAGATCTGGTGTTCAGCTTGGCTTCAGCAGTAATTGTGAATTTCACCTCACCTGGAAATCAACCCGACAGCCCAAGAAAGGAAATTCATTTTCAGTTTGACCTCACAGTAATTGTGAACTTCACCTCACCTAGAATCACTCCATGCTTCCTATCCAAGAATGGAAATTTATCTTCAATGTCTACAATTACACCTGTGTTTAGCACCTCCTTCTAGATTGATAAACTGCTAAGAAATGTATGTTCTTCCAAAGCAGCTCCTGAGGAACAAATTTCATAAAGACTCTAGATTTATATGTTAGCAGTAAACAGTTGCCTAGAGCCTAGAGCACAAGGAATAAAGTCAGAATCCTGCCCAAGCAATTGACATATTACTCATTACAAACTTCCACCTCTTTCTGGTCCCATGCCCAATTATCTCTCTAACCTAGAGAAGTATTGAAATACTTAGAGCTTTGCTGTCCCTGTCCTACATACATAATTTATTAATCAAGAGACAACTCAGAGGACATCAATAGGAGCAGCATGGCAGGCACTGCTCACGTCAACTCTGCAATCACTACACATTGATAATCAAAAGGATTTTTTTTTAATTGAAACAAAATGTAATAGCATAAACATACCAACTTGCTTTTTTYCAGTCTTGCAGCATTATTATTTTGCATATCAGTTTTGATTTCATAGTAGTATACTTCATAGAAGTATAACTTTGCTCCTTTAGCAATGAATTTGGAATGAATTTGGGGATAGAAATCAATCATATAATAGACTTTCTTTGGGGTTTTAGAAACCTCTTTTTAAAGAGAAGTCGCATCTCTGGCTCATTTTGAGAAGAATCTTCACAAATTAAAAGTGTTTTTTTAATATAGTTTGACTTTTGGGGGACATACACATGCAAACCATTTTAAGTGATTCTTGAAAAGACAGCAAGGGCTTATAGGCAGTGTAAATTAACATAGCTGTAAAATCGGGGGAAGGAATGCCACCTTAGACCACTGAAAATTCAGCCCAAAATTATCAGTGGTTTTTGTTATTACTGAATATGTTTGGTTATGTGTAAAACTGTCAAAGTCTAGAAGGTGGTGATCAGAATGCAGAGACATGAACTAGGGTAAGCATCATGAACAGAAAGAACACAGACACGGGAAATGCTGCCAGTATTTCATATATGATGAAACAAGCTGAGCAGTCCTTCATAAAACAGAGAGGAAATGGACTGGTAAAAATCGGAAGAGATAAAAACACCAGTTCACATACCTTTCAGTGCATATAAAGGAAATCTAGCAGAGGACAATGGCAAACTTTAGGAGCAATTAATGGAGTTGCTCAGTAATGCATGCCTGTGGAATACTGATGTTTCAATGAAGATTGGGAGTGACAAAAGTAGAAAAATATGGAAAAAATAGATCGAGGTGAAAAAAAGACAATCTTACCAAGGCTATGGGGGCTAGTAGTCCAGATATAGGTTTTCCTCTCATTAGCACACACAATCGCTGTGTTTTCCTCTGGTGAAAGGACTTCTGCCTTGTAGTCACTGGACTCGGCCAGTATAACATTGATCTGAAAAATAAGAGAGAAAGAGAATGAATACAAAGAGAAGGACTGCCCCTGAAGTCAGGCAATAGGACCAAAGGAAACTGTTTTTCACTGGAGAAGCTATTTGTCATCTGATTCTGTGAGATAGTACTAGAAAAGGATGGATCATTTTTCTAAGGAAGTGGAAAATATTTTCTGCCTACTGCACACAGTCAGCAGCTGCTTTGGACAAAGGCAATTCCAGGGTGCTCATATTAGCAGTCATTAGTTCAATTCTGTGCTCATATCAGCAATCATATGATTTACTGCCACATACTACTCCTACTCAGTGTGAATTTTCTTTTGCACAGTACATTACTATTACCCTTTTCCCAATCCCTCCTTCAGTCTCACCTAACCATTTCATTGACTAATAAATAAGGCTCTCATTTATGGATGACAGTGATCCACAGTCACCCTTTCCTGATGTTATGTCACTGACACAGGTCATAAGACAGAACAGGAGAGAGAGGAATGTATCAGGCTACAGGATGAATAATCATTTCTGCAATTCTGATGCAAGAAGCAAGGAACTAAGCTAGAAAGTAGAGGGACATCATTTACCTGAATGCATTTGTCAAGGTAGTTGAAGACATTGGCTATTAAATTAAACTTTTCACCTCGAATTACTGAGTAAGGCAAGGTGAGATCAACAAAGAATGGTTGGAATGCTGTCAGCGAAACAGTTGAGGACATGCCAAATCCAATGTCATCCTGCAAGCAGAAAGCACTGGCTTTCCATTCTGTGATGGTGTCAGGAATAGTGAAAAAGACATTGGCCTCTCCATTGGAACTGAGGAAAATAAGAAAAGTAAAATGAGAAATGAACTTCACCACTTTCAAGACAAATATAGAAGATGCTCTCTAGTTGAGTTAGTGCTTCTGTTTTCACCTGGTTTCTACAAGATACCCTTCCGTATTTAAAAGATAAAAAAAAAATATTTTAAAGATGGAAATAAAGATGAGGATTTGTGCTAATAGACCAAGCATAAAAAAAAAATTAGTTGGAAAAGTACAGGGTTCTTTTTTTTTGCATTTAGAAAAAGAATAGATGCCTTCTGTTTAAAAGAAATTGACAATATTTTAAAGTTTGTAAAAGGYAAAAGACAATTAAACAACTTCACAGATTAGAATCAACAGATTTTAATTAACATTCTAGAATAGACCCTTAATGCATAGTTAAGATGGAGATATTATCTTTGCAGATTATAGAAAAACAAAAATAAAAAATATAATAAATAATAAGAAAAATAATAAGAAAATCAAAATGAACTAAATATTCTGCTTTTCAAAATTAAAGATATGATGGAAAAATGAAGGGTTTGCTCCTGCTGTCTCCTAACCAGATGTTGTTATTATACACTTAGCTCTTAGTCTTTCTTCTTATCATGAAAGTGGAAGGTAGAACACAGAGCAGGTTAAATTTCCTATTCAGGTAGATTTGACACGGTGTAAAAGGCTGGGAGTGCAACTATCACAGAGCAAGATGGGTAAAGAAGATTCAGATCTACAAAGTAGCTATATATTCCTTAATTCCTTCCCCATCTCTATTTCATAAGCATTCATCAGCACAGAAATTCATAAGAGAGGTAAGAAGAACTGAAAGTGAAAATACTCACTCAGTGTGAACCAGATCCCAAATCCAGGTCTCGGGAAAGATTTTCCGAATACTCTTACTAGGAGCACTACCAATAAGTCTTGACTCATCTAGGGAGAAGTGGTGTGTGATTAAAATATAATATTGGACAGCAACCTACAATTGTAGCAACCTACAATTGTTAGTTTTGACCTTTTGCTGTGCAACTCTGACTTGGAGAAAGATAAAAATTTTTACCTATCTATACAGTACTTAGAAAACCTATGTGCGAAGTACACTAAGTGCCCTATGAATGCTTACACCAGGAATTTCCAAAAGGCATTCCCTTTTTAACTGTTTAATTGAATTGTGAGTTCTGCCATGAAAAAAATATGAATTACCCTCCTCAACACACATGCACACACACAGTTGATAACTGTAGTTACACAAGAGAGAATTGACTCTTCAGTTCTGCGAGGATTATCACAAGAGATTACTTGAGGAAAACCATGACACAGAGACCTATCCCTAAAGAAACAGCACATAATTACTGCTCTTTTATACAGACAGCAGTATTGGAAAACAGACAGACTGGGACTGGAAACATGGCATGCAACATCTTTTACCTGTGCCATAGCCACCACCACCACTACCGCCAACAATCTTAGACATAGCATCAGCAGGGACACGGTCATCTTCAAGATTTGATTCATCTGCTTGGCACAGAACTGGCTTCCGTAACGCAGAGTTGGTAAAAACTTTTAGGCCCATGTCCTAAATATAAAAGTATCAGTTAATCATTCAGTGAACATATTAGCTCCTATTAGACTAGAGGGAACGAAGCAGTTTGCACCACAGACTCAGACCTTCACTAGGAATGCCTGATGTCATGAGCCAGTCATTACCCTGCTTAAGAAATATCTAAAATATGGGCAGGATCACAGTGAATATATGTATGATTCTCAGTCTCTCTAAGAAAAGTGGAAGTGAAAAGGTAGGAACTGGATGGTTGGAGGCATTAGTTAGTTCTAGGGAATAGCCCCCTTGTTCTTGTAAGAACTGGTATCTGAGCTAGTTTAATACTAGGGCATATTAATTCATCTGAAATATATCCCACTTAAGGAATCATGCAAAGCACTCACCTTGAAAATCCTGTAGACATCACCATCACGGCTGACATTCACAGGTTCATAGTACAAGCCATCAGAAAAGATTGTTTTGATTGGGGTACACTGCTCTGGCTTGTCATCTTCCAAGTTGAGCCCGTTGTAATAGTAGCCATATAAATCACTTACACGATGTCGGTAGTACACCTGGGAGGTGAGAATGACTGATGTTATCACAAGGAAAGATCCCAGGTAGGTGCAAAATATTGTTTYGCCAGACTACTTCTCTAGCTGTGAACCATCTCCAAGGCACAGTGATAGAGCATAAGGGCTCTGTTATATCACRAAAAAACTCTGCTGTTTGAGTAAGGCTGCACACTGATAAAAGGAGAAAGAATCCTCAGTTAAAACTAAGTTTAATCTAAGAGATTGGGAATACACTGCAGTCTTTTCTAAAGTATCCTCCTTACACAGCACATATCCACTCTTCTATCATAAGATCAAACTGCCTCTCTTAAAGCAGTGCACTAGCAGGGCCTCTGTTTAGCACTTCTCAGAAACACAGGACTTATGATGATTCTGAGCAATCCCATAGCCTATGGTGGGTTTGCACAGTGATGCCTGTTTAGAGATGAAAAGACAATTTTGCTGGTGATGAATGAGAAGGATTGGCCTCTGCCCCTTTTACTGAGCTGAAAGGCTTTTATGGGTTGAACTTGATCAACAAGTAAAAAGATATGCTGCTGATGTATGCAGGGATTCTGATAAGACTCTGTCTAAGTTCCGTAGCTTTTGGTTTGGCCTAAGTCTTATTAGAGAAAAACATGTAGGATTTTGACATAGTAACTCCTCAGAGAAGAAAATATACTAAACGGTATACAGTAGACATAGTCTTAGGGCATGTTTTACACTTCCATACTGTCCAAAAATAAATATGCTAATATTAATTTCCAGTTTTGAAGTGTATAACTCCCACAGGAGCTATAAATTATCTCTAAGGAGGTATACAGTTTCTTCTTGTTTCAGTCACCGAGGTGTTTTTCAGGGGACACCCCTAAAAGGGTTAAGGGGAAAAGGCAAACACAATCAGGCACRAAGAGATCAGAAGCTGGTAACTGGAAGTATTATTCTGGATGTCCCTGTGTCAAAAGAACTCAGGACTGGGTATATGGCTTACAGTTTCGGGGGACAACTCTTGTTCAGGCCGAAGGAGAAGGATGCTCTTATCTATAGCTCGCAGAGCGCAGTAGGAGTTGGCAGCAGCTTCAAGGTGAAGGCTGATGTTGGAACCCGGGAGACCCTCCTTCTCAGAGAACTGGAGTTGTAGCTGCAAATGAGTAAATCCAAGAGAATTAAAACAAATAAGAGAATCAGCTTGGTATTGAAACTCATCTTTCACCTCGTCCTCTAGTTACCTCCCTATCCCTACTGAATTGAAAGTCTAGTCTGAAATTGAGCATACTTGTCCATTCAAGAGACAGCTTCTCCTGTTCTCAGGCACATCTGCACCTCTTCCCCTTTTAAAAGTCATTCCGAGTACAGGGTTGTTGATGAAATCATTTTTTGACTTTTCACTCTGGCTAGCTGGCATAGTCCTTCATAAGAAAGCAAATGTTTTCACCTTGTTCTTGAAGCATATATCACTCTGTATCCAAGAGCTGTCAGCCACTATCTCCCCAAGAGGATGCAGTGAGTAGAGGAGAAGTCTGGTACTGGAGGCAAGCTTCTCAGTGACAGTCAGTGTGATGGAGAATGTGCCTCTGGGAGCTGTGGAAGTAACACAGAACAAWGGGAACAGAAGAGATTAGACAAACATGAGCTTTGGTAGAAAGATTACATATCTGTCCATAGCCTAGTAGCATGTTTAAAAAGAGGGAAGTTGGATATTCTGAGATTTGTCTTTCAGTGTATGAGGAAGAGTTCCCATTAGCAAGATACTAGAGGCAGATGATAGGAGGATGGAGGATGCTGACAGCAAGGTGCTTTGCAGAGAGGGGTTTGAGCAGAGCAGAAGTTGGATAGAGAAATTTGTGCATGATTTCTACAAGAAGAGCACAAGTCTATCTTACAATTTTAAAGGAGGTTCTCCAGAACCTACTACATCAGATACGACAGGCCTTTCTCCTGATCTACTGAGGACTCTCTTGATACTAAGAAATATGTTGTCACTATGAGGACAACCACCAGAGTAGGGACACGGTATTGATCTTTCATGTATGTTCTGGTGAGTCTCACTTGTTCACAGATCTTAGTTTTAGTCATCAGTAATATGAAAAATAAAACAAAACATAGTTTCAGGATGTTTTTGTGAAGAGGAAATCAAGTGATATGATTTGTGAGTAAAATGCCCCTCCTTGAACCGTAGAGRAGCATATACTGTGCAACCATAGTATATGAACACGTGAAGATAGACCAAAGTCAGCAAAACCAAAGAAATGCTTAAGTTCCATATGTAGAATGAGGCCTACCTAAGCCATTCACTGAAGATAGGCTGGAAATATACCTAGTTCCGAAATAAATTATACTTTTAACAATGGAAAACAAAGCTCAGTATGTTGTGATCAGTAGGATCATATTCCTTGTTACTGGTACAATGTGGATACTTCTGAACTGCAATGGATTCCAAAGCAGTAATTTACAAATATCTCTGTCAAACAGGGCATCTATCATTCACAGACTTTAAGAAGTTGTTGTCTTCCAGTCAGGAAAGAGTGGGATGTCACATAATATGAAGTGACTTGAGTGACCACTCAGTGCAGAAAGAATAAATGAGATTGTGAGTGGTGAAATATGATGACGTTTCAGAACTAATATCTGATTTGGTTGCAGTTCTCTGCTTTCATCCCATTTCAAGTAATTACTAATGTTTTGGTGCTTAGAATAATCTTCTGGTTAGTTCTTATCAATATTATAGTCCTCTGAATCATCAGTAATAATATGGACTAGAACTTACCACTAGAAATGCTGACTGGCTTCTGCCCAYTGAGAACAATTTGTCCTTTGCTCATCACCTGGGTAAAGAAAAAAGAAAAAAAATACAGAACTGAAATACACTCTTTTTCTTCCCCAGTGAAATCACTGAATTTGAGTGTTGCCTGAGAGCTTAAAGGGCTATGAAGCCTGACTATAGTTTGGCCTGATATGGTGCTCAAAGGAAGGTGAAAGAAGAGAGACATTCAAGCGAGCACTCAGCACTTACCACATAATAGAAGTTTGTGTGCGTAGCATCTCCATACCCCTCTTTGTTCAGGACATAGAAAACATTGATCTTTTTCTGCTGGCCACAGCTTAGCTTCTCCTGTACTGGCTCAATCCTCACAAAACTGCTGGTTCTTGAGTAGAAGCGGCGGACAGAGAATAAGGCATGGGGCTCCTCATGGTTTGTCCACACAAGAAAGTCTACACAGTCGTCTGTTACCTGCCTGGCCTGTGGGACACGTGGGAAAAAATSAAGTTGAAAATGAAATGTTAGCAAGCAGGTGTGAGACAATGTCATCTCCCTTGTCTAGATTATGAGGGATCTAGACAGGCTGGAGAGTTCAACAAGGACAAGTGCAGAGTCCTGCTCCTGGAAAGGAACAACCCCAGGCACCAATACAGAGTAGAGATTGACCTGCTGGAAAGCAACTTTGTGGAGAAGGATTTGGGAGTCCTGGTTGACAACAAGATAACCATGGGTCAGCAGTGTGCCCTTGTGGACAAGAAGGCCAATGAGATAATGGCCTGCATGAGGGGGAGTGTTGTCAGCACGTCAAGGGAGGTGATCCTGCCCCTCTCCTCAGCTCTGGTGAGGCTGTACCTGGAGTATGGGGGCACTCCTGCACTCTCTAGCATAAGAGGGATGTGGGGATAAAACGGGTCCATCTTTCAAGCGACAAAGATGATTAAGGGACTGGAGCATCTGTCTTATGAGGAAAGATTAAGTGAGCTGGGCCTATTYAGCCTAGAGAAGAGAAGACTGAAAGATCTTATCAATATGCACAAGTACCTGAAGGGTGAATGTAGGGTGGATGGGGCCAAACTCTACTCCTTGGTGGTCAGTGATAGGACAAGCAGTAATGGGTACACGTTGAAACCCAGGAATTTCCATCTGCCTGTGAGGAAGAACTTCTTTTTACAATGAGAGTAACAGGCTACCCAGAGAGGTGTGGAGTCTCCTTTTTTGAAGATCTTCAAAACCTGCGTGGGTATGACTCTGTGCCACATGCTCTAAGTGTCCCTGCTTGAGCAGGGGAGTTGGACTAGATGATCTCTAGAGGTCCCTTCAAACCTCAACCATTCTGTGATTCTGTGATATTCTGGGTGGATCACATGGTGCTGTTTAACCCAATGGAGTTGGTTTGAAAATTATTTGCTCAACAAGTCCAGTGTGGGAGTGAACTTAATATGTCCTTCTGGAGATCTCTATCTTAGTATATTTAGATATCTAAGAAATATTGGAGGAAGGAGGTTATTTCAGATCCTTTTACAATTGGGACAGGTTGTGTAAGCTCTTAGAGGTCATTGCTGAGTAAGAACAGTGTTCTTAAATAGCCTTTTTTTATTGTCTTTCTAGCTCTCCCTCTTACACTAAAGAAAAGGCACCAGACCATCAGAAGACCATGCAGTGGCAAATAGACATGAATCTATGTCATCAGGAATATAGGAAGCAGGCAGCAACAGGGAATGAAACTGGTATGTATCCAGGTTGGGTGGGGAAGGCCAAGTATGCTGTGAGGAAGGTCCTGCACCACACAGAATAAAGAGAAGGAAGATGGCTGCAGAAAGGGCTTCTGAGCTAAGCAGAAAGTAAGGAAGTGCTGGAAATCTCTACAGCCTAAACATCCTGTGGTGCAGTCTGCCATTCCTCAGGCATTGATGTTTTCTCATACTAGTTTCACACAGGCTGCAGATGTTGAAAAAATGACTGCTTACTTTCCTTACCTGAAATAACACTATCAACACACATCCACTTGCTTCTATTCCCTCTCCCAAATTAAGTATAATTTCAGGARTTAAATTGGATTCTGATGTTACTTACTCTCAGTTTAAAACTGGGATCAAAGAAGTTGGAGGTATCAATGGAAAAGGCAGCAGTACCGTCGTTGTCTGTGGTATAGTTTGCAATATATTCATCATTGAGCTCCAGCAAGACAGTCCTATTGGCAATGGGCATGCCATCCGCATTTGTCACGGTGACCTGAACACAAATAGCCAAGATATTAAAATAAATATATAAATAAAATAAAGGATTGGAAAAGCTCCATCAACCAGAGGAAACTCAGTTAGGAAAATGACAGGGAGTGGAAATCTATAGTGCAGATTCACATGCGCCTTGAGATTTTGAAGGAGCAGGAACTCTGTGACAGGTAAAGAGAGGCAATTCCTCTCAGTGCAAAGACAAACATTATGCCACAGAGGGGGAAGGAATATATATGCATGGTATGTATAGAAGATTTTTACTACAAGAAATCCTCTGTGACCCACTGTGTAACAGGATAATGTAGGGCTCATTCCCCTTCCTATGCCTGGGCTTGTCCAAGGCATGCAAGCTGGAAAGAATTTGGAATTTGCTTCMAAACGTATACTGGTTTAAGCAAACAGCCATAGGACCATGCTATGCACAGTTATTGCTGGAGTAGTTTTGCGCAGACTTATCCTTTCCACTCATATAATCTTTGATTTTATAATCCCTTTGTCATTTGGTAATTATGACTGCCTTTAACTCTGCATGTTTCATAATACAATTTTCTTAATTTCTCCAAAGCATTTCACATTATGAGAAAAATATAATAGAAGTTCCTGGCAAGCAACATTGTTGAGGGAAGTTGTCAATTCAGAATTAKAGGATGGCTATAAAAGGAGCAACACAGAGCTCATGCTAGACCTCAAGAAGATTTTGCTCTGGATGTGCCCTCTCAGCCACCCACCTGACCAAAGTAAGGAATTCCCCTCTTGTAGTAGCGATCCATGTTCTTGAACATCACTCTGTCATTTTCTTGGACAACTGGAACATAGTCAGAGTCTTTCATCTGAATACCTTTGAGATACACATCATGGAGGTGAGGAAACAGGAATTAGATATGGGAAGAAAACTATTTCTCTTGAAATCTTTTTACAGAGCAGTGATGCTCTGAAAGGAGTGTTCTGTTCTACTCTTAGGAATGAGCTTGATTTTTTCTGACTGGATGGGTTAGGATCCAGGAGATTCCTTTCAGAAAGTACCAGCTTCATTCAGCTGTTTCCCAACCTCCACTTGGTGTTACCTGTCCCATCTTCAGTGACAGTGGTTTCTACACTGAGGCTAGCAAACATCCTGGCATAGCTGCGGTAGAGACGGAAGATTTTGGTGGAAATGACACTGCTGAGGCAGCCATCTTTGCCCAACTGAAAAAGAGAACAAAGATGAAAGCTAATTTTTCTGAAGRTTAGGATAATTGCTCCTCAGCCTAGATCAGTGGGTGTCTGAAGACTTTCATGTCTCTACTACCAGCTCTTACTTTTTACTCACACCTCTCATTAGCTAGTTCCCCTCTTAGCTCCTAGTTTCATTACCATATAGTCTTGTACCTGGAATCCTCTCTCCTCATTCCCCTTAGTTCTCTCTTCTCCCAGGTCCTTTTTCAAATACATCTTGCATGACGCCTCATTTCTCTCAGCAGAACTCTGTTCTCTAAGGAACTCGGAACTTTATCAAATGGGGAAAATCATCATTATTTTAAAGTTAAGTAACCTCAAACACTCCTAACACATGCATGGTGACTATCCTGAATAAAAACACAGCTCAGATATGTTAGGAATTATAAATTCACACCTTCTTAAGCTCCCCCCTCTTCCACTTATTTTTCTGAGGCAGAATTCCCCCCTTCACCCACATTTTTGAAAAGGAAGTACATCACCCCCATCACCCCCACCAAAGTTTCTGAATGAGATCATTGGGAAAATCTACCTTCATGGTCACTGCCTGTGAGATACTGAGAAAATGCATGCCTGGGATCGTTTCTCTGTTATTCCCCATAGGGAACAACATGAATGAGGCCTCCAAACACTATATTTCATGATGGATAATAAAGCTCATTAAGAAGACAGCTCTTGCCCTGTATCATACCGGTGCAGTGACAATCTCACACTTTTCTTTCTGGTTTTGCTCACATCGTGGGCTATAAAAGCGTTGCTGACACACACTGATCTGGACTTTTCCTTGCACAGGCTGGCCGTAAGTGTACCTAGAAGAAGAGCAGATGCAAGACCCACTCATGTGATTTTATCATCAAATGTGTCAAGAATCCCCAGAGCATAGACAGAAAAGGAGCTAGGTATCAGAACCAGTTAGCACATGCTGGATTCCCTTTGACTCTTTTTATCCTGCTTATGGTGTTTTGTCAAAAAGCCTGCTGCACTATTGCCTGTGGTGTAGCTATTTCTTAAGGTATGAAGCCTGAAAGTAATGTTGGGCTCAGGACTAGAATTTCATTTTCTGCTGCTTGTTTTTTTTTTATTTTCTCTTTTTCACACAATTTACACAATGCATTTACACAAAGCAGGATATACTGAAAAAATGACCTTATTAATTCCCTCATATCCAGATTTTTCCCATGCTGTCTTTTGGCACTGCCTTRGCCAATGATCTTAACTGTAGACTCACTTGCTATGCTATTTTATTTCTTTTTCTGTAGAAATAAAAACAACAGGTACTGGGTATGTACTGCTTGATACCTTCAAATTCTTGGGCAAATGCAAATCCTTTCAGTTCTAACTCTGCTATGTAGCAGGTGGATTGTTATCATGCTTCCAGTCATGGAAGTAACAGTTAACAGAGTTGGCTCTAGTCCACACATTGAATCAGCAATGGGGCATCTGCTTCACAGCATGTAATACCATCCTCCAACCCACCAACATACGTATTGTTCTCAGCTCTAATACTTACGAGGCGCAAGTGTTCACCCTCAATTCTTCATCAAAGAAAGAGATCCTCTTTGGCACAGTGGTTATCACTTCAAACTTTGGCAACACTGAAAATGCAAGGTTAATATGACTGAGCAGCAGTTGCACACTGCAGGTAGGCATGGGTGTATGGCAGTTAACAGTTAAAAATGTATAAAAAAAACCACACAAAAACTAAAAAAATACCCACAGTTGGTAGAGGCATTTCCAGAAGGGAAATGGAATGGATTAGTGTGGAAGTCAGCTGTAGGTTGTTGATGAAGGAARAAAAAAGAATCTTTAATGGTCAGATAACCTTTAAAACTTGGTTACCAGTACTAATATTAATAATAAGACTAACACTAATGCTGAGACTAATACYAAAATAGCAACAACAGCTAGAACAGAAGAACAGTGAAGAACTATTCAGGCTGTGCGATATGAAATGAGTTAATAATTCTGATGTCTAAAAGTTTTTAAACCTTGGAGAACAGAATGTGTGACAGAACTACGCCACTACAGGAGAAAAGAAAAAAAGTGAAGTGAAGTAACTACAGGCCGGTGAGCCTCACCTCCATCCCCGGGAAAGTGATGGAGCAGCTCATCCTGGCTGCTCTCTCCAGACACATGGAGGAGAAGAAGGTGCTCAGGAGTAGCCAGCATGGATTCACMAAGGGGAAATCCTGCTTGACTAACCTGATCACCTTCTACGAAGGAATATCTAGCTGGATAGATGAGGGCAGAGCGGTGGATGTCATCTATCTGGATTTGAGCAAGGCTTTTGACACTGTCCCTCACAGCATCCTCCTGGGCAAGCTCCGAAGGTGTGGGATAGATGAGTGGACGGGGAGGTGGATTAGGAATTGGCTCGATGGCAGGGTGCAGAGAGTGGTTGTCAATGGTGCGGAGTCCAGCTGGAGGCCTGTACTTAGTGGTGTCCTCCAGGGGTCAGTTCTCGGTCCGGTCCTGTTCAACTTATTCATTAACGACCTGGATGAAGGGMTGGAGTGCTCCCTCAGCAAGTTTGCCGACGATACCAAACTGGGTGGAGTAGCTGATAGCCCTGAGGGCTGTGCTGCCATCCAGAGGGACCTGGACAGACTGGAGGACTGGGCGGCGAGAAACCTCATGAGGTTCAACAAGGGCAAGTGCAAGGTCCTGCACTTGGGGAGGAATAACCCTGGACACCAGTACAGATTAGGGGTGGACCTGCTGGAGAGCAGCCCCACAGAGAGGGACCTGGGTATCATGGTGGACGACAAGTTGACCATGAGGCAGCAGTGTGCCCTGGTGGCCAAGAAGGCCAACGGGATCCTGGGGTGYATTAAGAAAAGCGTCTCCAGCAGGTCGAGGGAAGTGATCATCCCCCTCTACTCAGCCCTGGTGAGGMCACATCTGGAGTACTGCGTCCAGTTCTGGGCTCCCCAGTACAAGAGGGATGTGGAGCTGCTGGAGAGAGTCCAGCGCAGGGCTACSAGGATGAWCAGGGGCCTGGAACATCTGCCCTATGAGCAAAGGCTGAGAGAGCTGGGYCTGTTCAGCCTGGAGAAGAGGAGGCTGAGGGGGGACCTGATCAGCGTGTATAAATACCTCAAGGGAGGCAGTGAGGAGGAGGGGGGCGGCCTCTTTTCAGTGGTGGGCAGGGATAGGACTAGAGGAAATGGCTTCAAACTGAAGCATCGGAAGTTCCACAGGAACTTAAGGAAGCATTTCTTCACTGTGAGGGTGACAAAGCACTGGAACAGGCTGCCCAGAGAGGTTGTGGAGTCTCCTTCTTTGGAGATCTTTAAAACCCGCTTGGATGCAGCCCTGTGCCACGTGCTCTAGGTGACCCTGTGTGAGCAGGGGGGTTGGACTCGATGACCTCTGAGGTCCCTTCCAACCTTCGGCATTCTATGATTCTATGATTCTAAATAGATTCCACTCTGCTGTCACATGCCCATTTCAGCTTAGTTACTGTCCCAGGTCAACAGCAAGAGTGACATTACAGCTGGAGCAGACGTTTTTCTCACTCACGTGTGCCCAGTAGTCAGGAATGTTGAAAATAGATTTTGGAGATAAGCAAGAAAAGTGTTAGGCTATCGTTACAAGAATTCTACCAAAAAATCCTGCCAAAATAAAAACAAAACAGAAAATAAAAGAAAACAAATAAATAAATGCCTCTGGTAGCTGTCCAAGACTTCTGGGGGGCTTATTTAGGAAAAATTGTCACTATAATATGAGAACATTTGCAAATAAATAAATAAATAAATAACACTCCGTTGATACGATCTGTTTCAGAAAATATGCGGATTAGACACTGAGGGCTTTTGCATCTCCACTACCTACAGTTTTCCATCTTGTACTTCCACTCCTCTGGCACTTCCTCAAAAATAATATGGTACCCAACATTTCATCTGTCTTATATATCATATATTCAGATTCCTACAGCATGTTTTAGTTTGGTTCTCTTTATACAGTGATGACCTCCACAAAGGAATGAGAGTAGCCTGACTCATTCAAAGAGATGAAAAAAAATGGCTCCTTTATCTCCTTTATCTTTTCTTTGTTTATGTCTTGCCTTCACTTTCTTCATCCATTGCTCTCCATGTCCAACTTCTTTTCTCAGATTTGACAGGTGATTTCACAGCACTTCAATTCTGCACTAGATGGCCCTTTCTAACTTACACAGACCCAGTCTTATTGCTACTTTAGGGAAATTTACARCTCATGCTTACCATATTCCTCCACGCTGAAAGAATGATACTCTTTTTCACCAGACTTCTTCTCCACAATGATGTGATAGAACCCCAGAATTGGCTCCTGGATTAATGGGAAGGAGAGCTGGACAATGCCACGCTTGGATGCTACCTCCAACCACTGGAAGATCTGATTTTGTTCTGGATCCTGGAGAGGAAGAGGACAAGACCTTTTTCACCTCTTTCTTGTGTTCTGCACATTACAGAATATGAGTTTGGGCTGATGAGATGTGTGATTTGACTTCTCATTAAACTTCCAGATTTATGCTAAACAAGCCTAACTTTATGCTAACTGGAAAATCTCTATAAAGCCTAATGATCTGGGGTAATCCAAGATTAACGCATGATTTATACTCAGACTATCTGCAGCTCTTCAGCATAAGTCTGATTCAGTTCCTTCTTCTGTAAAATGATAGTATTGTTCTGGCCTTCCTTGTAGAGAGCTTTGAGATCTAATGATGTGAAATGCTGTAGAAGACTGAGTTGCTGTCAGCCCATCCTGATCATAATATATTTCAGCACTACTCTTTTATCTATTCAGGAATAAGGTTATCTCACCAGCCAGTCTGCTGTAGATATTACCAGGGTAATATTACACTGAATAGCTTTTTCAAATCCCCCCAAAAGTCACAGAAAGAACCCGAACCCACTTCTGACTAACGTTCCACTGACTCCTTCCTCTCAGACCCTCTAGTGTTTGGCACTTAATACGGCCATTGTTCATCCTAAAGTCCCTTTGCTTGAGACAGTCAGCTCTGGGCAAGCCTTTCTCTGCCATTCACTCTCTGGAGAGTTGTGTCTAGATACAATGTGCACATCCCATTTGTTGTGGCAGTGTGGGAAAAGAAAATGTTGAATTATTGCATCAAGAAAGAGTATCAGTGAAAGTCTGTATTTAATGCTGTTAATTAAATGCATATGTAAATAGTACATAAAAAATAGTTAACCCAAATCATGTTTGATACTGTGATTTTCCTCTTTGTTAAAATTACTTAAGAAGGACTAGCACTATAGCTGTGCAGAAGGACATAACAATATTCTTTTCAGGGTAATAGTGCACATAGAAAATGCTATTTGCTATTATAAGTTCCACTTGCATATGTTACAGGGCCTAACTAACATAAACTGATTCTAACTTCGAGATAATCTGGGAGTAAGCTTTCAAGGCAAAGTTGTACCCAACTAGATGTAGCAGAGGCAGGAAGAAGGCTCACATCTTCTAACTCACAGATATTTGGCTGAGCTGTGATTCTTGAAGCTACTACACCTCCATTAAGTTAATTGACTCAGTTTCCTATTATGGAATTATGGTAAATTTTCTTCTTTAGCATTAGATATGAACCCATTTCAGGTAATGACTGGTACCTGAAAGTCCCATGCTTGCACAGCAGAACTCGTATCATCTTGGAACACCTTACTGTCAACCTTCTACCATATTTAGTGTTCGATATATATCCTAAGTGGAGATGGGAATAAATTTAATTTGTTCTGACTACCTTGATAGAGTAAGACTAGTGAGGAATATATGCTTGGAGAGGCAAGTGAATACAGAAAGTCTGGGTTCACTTTTCAAAACAGTTTGTTTTCCCATGCAGCCTGCCCTGTAATGACAGCCTCTGTGCCTTACCTCAATGACGATCCGGGGATACTGGAGAAGGAAAAAAAGAGAGGGAAAGAACAAAAATGGTCAAAATATCAAGAATATAACTTGAAAGCTTAACCTAGAAATTGAAAAATACTAAAACATAAAGAAGACTGTGAACACTTTTCTATGAATACAGAAGACTGGGTCAAAAAACAATTTGAAATTTGTGTATGTAATGAAGTGATAATTTAAAGGGGCATAATCTACTTATGGATTTTTTTTTTTACTAAAAATGTCCACTTTTATTCTATGTATCTGGGGCAGGTGAAGTGAACTAACTATAAAATCTGAAACTGTAGGCATTTTGCAGGAATGTTTTTAAACACTTGCCTTCTATAAAGGCAGGGAAAAACTAAGTCTGAAGTTAAGGAGTTAAAAATCCTTCAGAAATATCAAAAGGCCTATGTCAAATCCTTTATTATTATTATTATTATTATTATTATTATTATTAACGGATCCCACAATGATGTTTGAAAAATCTTGACTACCCATTATACTTACTGTCTCCTGAACAGGTCTGAATTGGCTATCCAAAGCTACGACACGAAACATCACTGAAAAGGAGATAGAAGAATTAAAAATAAACCACTTGAGCAGTGTTATGTCATTATCAGCTTATAAATGAAACAAAGTTTGCCCATCCTATTCAGAATATCTACATAGAGAATTTATATATACATACTAAATCCCTGAAGAATATTGGAATAGACTGGAAAAGATTTGAATATTGTTTTTAGTTAGTGAAAAAGAAATCCAGAATAAACTTTTGCCTGAAATATCTTCCATATTGACCTACTAGAACTMTCTATGAATTAGGGTAGTAGTTAGGCAGAAGGAACAGTTGACAGGAAATTATATGATAYTTTCATATGAAATTTATTAATTAAATGTTTAACATTATTTTCTGTATATCTTAAGAATGTTCCTAATACAATTTGTCTTAGTAAACTTTTCACAGCTCATGGTCCTGTAGAGTAAATTAACTGAGTAAAGACATACTAATTCTACTCACTTGTAGAAATTCTATGCATCAATTCTATTTTTCACTGCCTTTTGATGAACTCGAAGTTAAATGTCAAATACACACTATCTAAAGGACTGTTTTTGATCATGACTGTTCATAGTTTTTTTCCTGCATAAGAGAATTCATTATCATTCTAGATCCACCCTTGCACTCAGTTTCTTAGTTCCCTAGCTGATTCAAACTCCCCAGCCACCTTTTTGTCCTGCTTTGTAGATGGGTTTGTCCGTCTGGATGAAGACAGTGTTATCCACATTCTCGATTGCCACTGATCTTTTCTCAGCAAAGTTGACTGTGGTGCCTTTGGCAGAGAAGGTAATGAAAGCCAGAGGGTCAGAAGTAGCAGGAGGAACCTGGAGAGAAACAAAAGACTCATGATCAAGATGGCAAATGAGATATGTTGAAATCCTCTGGTGTCCTTACTTCTTCAGTGGGATACTGAGTGTGAAGTGAATTATAAAGAGCTTGTGCAAAGTCACGAAAAGCCCCATGTTTGCTAGTGAGTGTCTCTAAGAGTCTGTGCTGTGCAGGGCTCATAATTTGTCTCTAGGTACTAAGGCATCAAACCATCCATTACTCCAAGCATTTCCTCAACTCTCATAACTGTTTGCTTATATGCAGGCTGCCCAGGCATGTAGCCCAGTTCTGAAGTGCTTTTCCTGCTGCACACTGGAAGTTCTATTCTTGAGTCATATTTGTAATATCTGTCCTAATCCTGCAAAGTCACAGGAAACAGAATGAGTATATTCTAACTGGATTCTCCAGAATGATATTTATGACTGTCTCAAAGCACACTTGAACCTGGGACAGCAGCTGATRCATTTTCTCTGTTCACATTGTGAATGGAGATGGAAAGTCTTTCTCCATCTCTCCCTTGCAAACCATATGTCTTCTTCTTTTTCTGTTTGTGATGTTTGCTTCTCCAGCAGTTTACCTTTTTGCTTCTTATTCCACAGCCACTCTCTCCATCCTCTTGTCCTCATGACAAAGAGACTTTCACACTGAGGTATTTCCAGTTTCTACTCTCTCTTTAATAATCTCAAAATAGAAAATACCTTGAATTTGTTGCACTTGAAGAAAGCATTCTCTGTCAGAGATTCCTCAAAAAGAGTTGTCCGGGTACTGTTATATTSCAGAAAAACACTCAGGAACAGAGGCTCAGTGACATTGTGGAGCTGTATGCAAACACTCTGTGGAGAATCACTCCGAACCACTGTAGGGACCAGCAGCACATATTGGCTGTAAGAAAGCAAGATCAGGCCAAAAAACCCAGTTCAATCAGGGAGAAAGACTAGAGCTAAAAAGAGAGGAAAACACTGCAGAAGTGCCACACATTTGAAGGAAGATGTGGGGCTAGCTCAAAGTGATAAAAGGATTTACATTTATTTGAATGATTATGCTAAGAAATTACAGATGACATTCCTTTTCTCCTTTCTTTTTTTTTTTTTTTTTTCCTGAGATGAAATACTGACATCATTCTACTTGGTGTCTTATTGAACATGATATTGCACTTTTCCATTCCAGGTATTTAGATAGCCTTAATTACTGAAATATTTAACCTCCTGACAAGTATATATACATTTATCCTGCCATGCCCTTTAAGTGTTTATATGTGTATGCAAACCTCTGGAATCTCTTGTAAGAAAGAGTCCTGTTTTCAAGATTATTGACAAAAATACCAATTAATTGTAGTAATTGTATTTATTTCTTTTTCTTTAGGCATCTGTCCTTCAAGATATAAATTGATATATCACAATCCAAACAGTGTAATGTGCAAGAAATTATCTTGCCATATCTAGCCTATCTTGCAGAATATTCCAGGAAATACTCAGTCAACTTGAATGCTCTAGTGTCATACCACTCACTGTGTTATTGCATTCCCTTTTTTCCTTCCCTGGGCTTTCTTACTTATTCTGTCGTCTATAATCAGGGCAGTCTTCCTCTCAAAAAAAAACCAAAAAAAAAACCAAAAAAACCCACAAGGTTTTATATATTTGGCTAATCTTGTGTTGTTGGTCTCCCCTTCTCTGCTGCCCAGACTGGTCTTTCCAAATAATGCATGAGAGAACTGATGGGCTGGGTTTATAAAGCAATATGAATCACGCAATCCTTTGATAATCCGATACCTTCCCTGCCCCTCCACCTCAGTTCTGCTTGTTCATATTACCTTGCTTGTTACTAACAGTTTCCCGGTTTAGAGACAGTTTATGATATTCCAAGACCAAGATTAAAATGATCAAACCCAAGTGTGTATCAGAAAGACCGAAAGCCCTCTGACTTTCACAGAGTGCTTTCCTTAAACTTTGAGWTTTAAGATCCAGTGTTTGTGTATTTTTGAAAATCATTTATGAAATCTTCTGTCCATATAAAGCCATGCACTGTGTAAGTACTTGCCAACCGGAAGTTATATAAATAATTATAGAATTATCATTCTTCATACCTCCTCGGTACCACTGGTAGGACCATAACATCACTTCATATACCATGAAGAGCTAATGTGTGCCAATTCTGACCATCAACATTATTGCTAATCKACTAATCAAGCCTAAAGAGTCTTGAATCTCTTCCCAGCTTAACCATATACTTCATGYTTCATCTAGGACAGTTTTAGGTTTCTGGCACTCAAAACACATTTCATACCAATTTTGTGATGGCATCATTCCAAACCATGCTTTAATGTCATCATGATTCATTTCAGATATATTACAGAACATAAGTTTCAAACACYCAGAATATTATACAGCAGCATTCTCAAAGAAATTAACTAATAGGAAACATAATAAAGTATTTTATCATAAAAGCACAAAATGCATGATCACTTACGGTTCAGGAGACGCTGTGGCAATCCAGTGCAAGGAAAGAATACTCAGAAGAATCCTCGTCCACATGTCTGTCTTTGAAGAGAGAAGAGATACTCTGAGCTCAAGCRGACAGCCTGTCTTCTGGCTTTTAAACTAGCCTGACACAATGCTCCTCCTCCACAGCTTCGCTCATATTCTAATAAAAGAGATTTACATAAAATTTGCATAGATTTATTTTCCCCTCTCCTGTCTGTTCTCACACTCGAAGAGTTCCCAAATAATAGCTTAGGGAAGGTTTCATATTTCAAATAGCTTCGATAAGTATTGCAAGCCAAACCTGTCCCTGCCCATTTGGGTGTTTTATAGGGGTTTACCTCTATCATTATCATGTCATCAATCCTTGTCACTGAAGATTCCTTAATGTTACAACTTGTTAGTGCTTGCCATGGCTTAAGTACTTCCTTGTTCTGGGAGATATCTCCTAAATACATCTCATAAAAAAAAAGTAATGATAATAGTGCTATTGTATGCCTGTCTGGGAGCTGGAAATTAATAACATGGCATTAGATTGCATCTGCATTCGATATGGCACAAGAAGAAATTCTTTATTCTAAATAGTATATTTTTTTTAAACTGCACTTAACATTCAGAAAGGAATTATGTTAAATAACTGTTTATCACATTTACCGAACATCAGGACAAGCGTATCTCTTTTTAGAAAAAGGAATCTTGTGGCATTATTTCACTCATCCACTCCTCTGTCTATCAGTCAGCTTCCTCCCCATACATCCATCCCTCCATCAAATAACTCTTATCCTATGTTGTTGAATATTAAATAAATTTGACTGAGAAGTAGAAGTCTTGGAATAATCAAGTTATAATATCATAAAATAATTCTAAATAAAATTTTAAAATCTAATCAAACTGTTTTTAAATTTAAATATTAATAAAATAATTTGAAACTTTTAAAATTTAAGTTGAAAAGTTTAAGTTTAAAGTTTTTTTTTAGTTTTAAAATTTCAAAAGCTTTAGAAGTTTTAAAGTAAAGTCCTGACATTTGTTAGTCTAATCTCTCTTTAGAGAGATTTCAAAGCAAAAGCAAGTTCTCAAAGCTTTGTCCAGAAAATTTTTGAATATTTCCAAAAATGGAGAGCTGTCTCTGCCATGCCATCTGCTGTCATGTTTAATCATCCAGGTTGTGAAGAACTTTTTTACTAATATCAAAATTTGCCTTCACTATAATTTGTACAGTGTATTGCCCCCATGCTTTCACTCTTACACCTGAGAAGTCTTCTTTACAATCTCCAAGTTTTGGAAGATGTCATTTAGGACACCTTAGGACACCTTCCGTGAGGCTAACAAATCTGACTATTTTATTTGTCTCTCCAGGTCATGTGTGCCAGCATAGACCATTCTAGTGATTTTTTACTGGACTGTCTCCAGTATGTCCAGGTCTTCCTTGTACAGAGAAGCCCAAGACTGGACATAGAACTCCAGATATGGAGTTCTCAGAAATGTCAAATAGAGGGCATGAATCAATTCCCTTGATCTTCTAGCTACATTCTTGCTAATATAGCAGAATCTGTGGCAGTGCATGACTGCATTCACACTCTTCCCTGGGGAAAATAATTAACAAGGTAGCTAATCAGCCTGYGTGTAGCTCCAACACTGGAAAAATAACAGGCAGCTTCCCTCTCTCTTTCTCAACCTAACAAGTGATTATTCGGAAGAGGAAGCTGAACATGATATAGTGACATGGTAAGACCTAGGGATATTGAAGAATGGGTTAGGCAATGCAAAGTTGTTTCAGCTGTAGAAATTCTAGAAAGAGAATGACGGCTATTATACTGATGTGGTATAAAAGGATGCAGGACTGTAGAAAAGCAGACTTTATTCACTGCTTATGGCATGATATGGTCTTGCTAGTGATTCAGCCATACATTCTTTTTAGCAGAATGGGCAGTACTCAGACCTATCCCTGTCTAACCAGCTCAGCTACATATCTTTCCCAGCAGCTTTCTATTGACCAACTAGAGTACTCAGAAAACTGCTTCAGGTGCTGGTGGAGCTACTTTTTATTCCCACTGAAGTATTGCTGAGAAACATTGCACAAATATTCCCAGAAAGATCTGCCCCCAGGATGATGATGCCAGGTCGTAGTTGGGTGGTGTGCAAACAGGGCAGTCACGCTATGAAGAAAGCTGTTGCTTTGACTGTAGAAGGCAGAAGATACCTAAGAATATGATAGAAACATACTTGTATTTGCAATTTTGAATTGCCTGAGACCCCATGTATTACTTCCAACAGGCCACATTCTTATTAAAAATGGGAAAAAAAGAAGTTTAACTGAACTCTCTCTCTTTTTTCCCCCCCGATCTTCATGCCTCTAAGAAAGTTTGAAGAATCCTAGAATATGCTATATTTTGTCAAAATTAAAACTTACCACAGAAATTTATTGACAATAACTGCATATTCAAGGTAAGAATGTAAAGCACTAGTTTTTCTTGGGCAATGTTATATTAGGAATTGGTATTGGTTATATTAGGAATAGGTATTAGGTACAAAGGAATAGGGAAAAAAAAATGGTAATCACTTTACTGGATGGAAATTACTGCAATATGCCTTTATGTAAAAGGACTTTTTTTGGTGATACATACACATAAAAAAGAAAACACATTTGCACCAAATGATCAGATGWTCATTGGACCGGGAAAGACTCCTTCAAAACCTATCTATTCTGTGATTTGAAAAACAGAGTTTTTATAGGACATTATGTTCAGGACATGTTCAGAGCAATTAAGTAGCATATGTTTCTCTGAAAACTATGTATTCAATTCATGACCTCAGTAAAACTGCTGATCTAAGGGGACTTTTTACACAGTAGCAATGGTGAGATATTAAAAAAGTTCARCTCTCTGCATACATTAGTACCATGCCAGTGACAATCCTTAAGAAGACCTCAAATCTTCCTGACTACAATTGATTACAATTGTCCCTAGCAACAGGGACAAAATAAACTGCTTTGGCTTGTATGATTTATCACTAAGGAGTGAGAGAGGAATAGTCATCTGGAAGCCTGGGAATCAGGATGTGCCTGAGGAGAAATAATGAATATTCACATAGTGTAGCAACAAGAGAGGACCTAAGAAGATATCTTGATACTGGAGGCCATATAAAATGGCCTGTTAACTTTAGACTGGCACAGTCTTTCTCTGGCTTAAGAAAAGATGTAGCTGGAGATGATAATCTGTCTAGAATATTGATGTAATGAGATACAGTGAAAAATGCCCTTCAAGACCAAAGCAACGTAAATCCAAATATAAATGTCACATGTACACTTGTTTTTCATTGAAGAGTCATGTTGCATGCTCTTAGGACAGCAAGGAATCATGTTGCCCTCAAATAGTTCAACCYGGACTTCAGAAAGTTAATGCATTTTCTCTCTCTTATGAAGAAACGTTATATAAATATGCGCATGTATATTTTATACTTTCTCTAGATCTGAAATTAGAATGGCCATAATTCAGAGGGACRGTTATTGCAGTTTGTGCATTGGAGACTTTCACATTTTACTTTGCTAACAAATAAAGCTGAATTTGCCAATCCATTTTATCACATCAGATTCTTCTGGGCTCATATTGTCTTTTACATTGGACATGCATAACTACAGAATAATGTATAGTTTTTTAACGAGGTCAGTGTTTTGCAAATCTATTGCATTCAGAATAGAGAATTCTATGGGACAAGAGACACAAGATGGAAAGTGTAAGATAGGTGATCGTATTTTAGTTATCCGAAAGAAAACTGTCAATCTATTACCTGGGAGAGGAAGACACAGTAAATAAATAAAAATAAAGTGCAAAGCAGATGCCGATTTACATTCTTTAATTACCAGAATGTTCTTTCTCAGTCAGTCTATAGATCAAGTCTGATGTTAGAGGAGCGCCGGGCTGCATCATAGCCAATGCATTGCTGAAAAAGAATTTGATGAGTAGCTCCCTTCACTGACTAATAACAGAAGCCCAACACTGAAACTTATCTGATGTTGCAAAAATGGATATTTCCACTCTTCTGAGAACAACAAGCTAATTTTTGCCCATGTGATCTGTAATCAAAGGATAAGATTTTATCAAACTGAATTCAGCAAATTCAAACAAACAATTCAATTACATAAATGGAAAAGTCCTAGAGTAAAAAGATATGGAATTACTTATATAATAATAATAATATAATACTTATTACTCTTTTGGTTTGCAAGAAAACAGCAAATTGAAACAAAAATAAATAAAAGTTAACTAGACTCATATGTATGTAAACTAGCTAAATGAAAACAGGTCAAATAATTAATTCCTAGTCATACTACATCCATATTTCAAAGTGGACGCACTTTCAACATCTAATCCTTGGACCTCTGAGCATCTCTAAAAAGTTCTTCAAAAGCAACTCAGAAAAATAATTTTGTCCATGTTTTTCCACAGTCAGGCTATATGATTTTTCTAAAGGAGTTTCCATTTTCACTGTATGGATGTACAGACCCACAAATATCSAAAAAATCACAGAATCACAGAATATTCAAGGTTGGAAGGGACCTCTAGAGATCATCTAATCCAACCTTCCCACTCAAGCAGGCACACCCAGAGCACGTGGTACAGGGTGGCATCCAGGCGTGTTTTGAAGGCCCCCAGAGAAGGAGACTCCACAACCTCCGGGGGCAGCCTGTTCCAAGACTCTGGCACCCTCACAGTAAAGAAGTTCCTCCTCACCTGGAGATGGAATCTCCTGTGTTTCAGCTTATTCCCATTTCCYCATGTCCTGTCACTGGCCACCAATGAAAAGAGCTTGTCCCTTTCTCCCCTGCATTCTCCCTTCATGAACTTATACATGTTAATCAGATCCCCTCTCAGCCTTCTCTTCTCCAGAGAAAACAGGCCCAGTTCACTCAGTCTCTCCTCATACGAGAGATGTTCCATTTCCTTAATCATCTTAGCTGCTCTTCTCTGGACCCTCTCTAGAAGCACCACATCCCTCTTATACTGGGGAGCCCAGAACTGCACACAGTACTCCAGGTGCGGCCCAAATGAAAGCATCCTCTGAAAAAAGTCCCTACTGCAACATATCTGAATTCACTGCTTAYAGTGAAGCATACAGATTAGTTTGTCTGTTAGAATATTCTCCCTTCAGCTAGGCTTATGTTCAATTTGTGTCTTTTTTTTTTCTTGTAGACCCTCA